CAATTGTGATTTAAAGGCTCTCATTGCTGTCGTGCCTTGGTCCATTTCGTCTCGTCTCGTCCCCTCTCACGGCCCTTTGCCTAGTCACTCTTTTACTCGTACTTTTGGACTTCAACTGAAAATAATCTATCAAGTCTATAAACGTCGTCGACCATAGCTCACTCATTTACCCATCATCTGAAGATCAACTCACATTCGTTTAAGATATCCCTTAACATATAATCATAATAATCAAAATGCGTGGACTATTCCTTGCTTTGGGCGTTGTCGCCGTTGTCGACATGGCGGGTGCTTCTATGTGTGCCGAAGATAACTGCTACCGAGCCTTCCTCAATCAGCAATATGCTGAGCTTGGTTCCTCGTTCTGCCAGGGGTTCCTTGCGTCGACCACCACGGATGCCGCGGTCATCCCCACTCCGTTCGAGGTAAGGCATTTTCATCTCTCGTTACAGGGTTTATTGAATATCAATGGCTAACAAGAGTCGTAGAACTGTGAGGGAAGCATCGCCGCTGTCAGTTCGGCATGCGCCTGTGTCGCCTCCCCTGCCACCGCTGTCAAGATGGACAACGCCCCCAAGGTTACACCTTCGCCCGAGCTCCCCCTTGTCACTGCTGCTGCTGCTGCTGCTGCTGTCGTCACCACCACTGAAGCCAATGATCCATCTGCTACCGCAGCCGCAACCGAGAGCAAGCCCGAAGAGCCTATCGTCTCGGCTTCTTCTTCTGCTGCCAGCACCGGGAACGATGCTGTCGATGCGGAAGCCGTCTCGGGCACTACTACCCTCACCTCTACAACAACCTGCTCAACAACCCTCAGCAGCACCGTCTCCGCCAACACCACCACCACCAGCACAGCCTTCAGCGAGGAGGAGGCCGCCGTGACGTCAACCGTCTTCTCGACAAAGGTGTACACGGTGACATCGTGTGCCGCAAGCGTCACCGACTGCCCCGCTCGCTCGACACCATACGAGACCACCGAGCTCCTCACCTTGACCCTGGCCCCTATCCCTTCTTCTTCGTCTTCCTCTTCTTCGTCTTTTGCGCCCGTGTTGACTCAGGGCGTCTACACCTACCCTGTCCCTTCCGCCGGTAACAACTACACGCTCTTCACCACTTCCAAGCCGGCTGCTACCCCGGTTGGTCCTAGTGCCACCGTTGCGTCGGTGAGCAGCATGCCTACTGCGGCGGCCGACCGTAGCGTCACCATCAGTGCGTTTGTGCTTGCTGGCGGTTTCGCTCTGGCTCTTCTGTAAAGCGAAAGAAACCCCGTTTATACACGTACTCTTCTCTTCTTCTTCGGACGGGTGTGTGTGTGGCTTGATGATGTAGGTATGGTTATGATTAGGTTCTTTACATGTACCTAAAGGTTTCATGAGATAATAAAGCAATAAAATCAAAAAATAAGCTTCTATGTTTTTGAAGAATGGATGTATTTATTTCTTCCTTTTTCACACGTTGCCTCCGCTACTTGTTGCCTATAACTTGGTCGGTGCCTCACATGAAAACATTTTGATGTAGTAGGATGTATGTCACAGTGACAATGTAGGTAAATAGGTAGGATGATGGGGAAAAAAAGTGTGTTTCAAAAGTCTCGACTTGAAAACACCAACATCTTCCCATTTTTTCCATTTCACAAGAGGACGAGATATATATATCACCTCCTTAATATAAACCACGTCGTTTGAAAAAACCACATCCCTTTTTCTCCTCCTTTTTTCTTCTTTTTCTTTTTTAAATACACCAAACGGACCGAACCTTGACGGAATCGACAGTAGACAGGACAGTAGGCTTGCCAACGGTGAAAGGCTCGGCCTCGTAACCGCCATTGTCGTCCTCGACATAAGGCGTGCAGGAGACGCCCTCGGGACCCTCGAGCTCGAAGGTCGAGACGTTGTCGAATGCTTTATCCATGTAATACTGGCCCAGGGGAGCGTCGAGGAAGAAGAGCTCGTTGAATCCGTCCGGGACGATGATGTCGATCTGGATGTGGGCCACGTCTTCGGCGGCGAGGACGCCGGTTGCCGCGAAGGCGGTTGCCATTAGGGCGAGGGTGGTGGTGTACATTTTTTCTTTCTTTTCTTTTGGGGTGGGGGTTTTTGGTTTTTGGTTTTTGGTTTGCTGGAAAAAGTGTATGTGTGTGAGATTTGGATTTTTGTGAATGTGATGTGTAGTTATGATCATATACTTGGAAAGGGGGAGGGGATGTCTGGTTGATTTTATAGATAACATATTGTCTTCGACTTACACGTATCTACGATATATCTATCTACCTACCTACCTACCTACCTAAAACAAATGAATGAAACGTACAGTCTATTTTTGGGCAAAAAGGCACCTACCTACCTACATACTTACTTACCTACCCCCTACCCCCTGACCATTCACCAATATGCGTATCCTTCTTACCTTGGCGCGCGTATAATAATACCTATCCCACCTGTGTGAATAAGCGACTCTAGATAATATCATGCATACCCGCAGCCCGGCATCTTTCATGATGATGAATTGTCGTGTGGCTTCGCCAACAATGCGAGAATGCGAGATCCCTAAAAGAGAAACTAGATCGGATGATCACAATAAGCACTTGTCAGCATCCTATCGGCAAAACTCCAGACTTTATCTTTCTCGATTTGACCCCCATCATTCATTATACTGCTACGAGTAGGTATGAGCACGACTTGAAAGTTGGGGGGGGATGTCTCCGTAGGTACCTTAGGTAGGCGAAGACATCCTTTTCAGCCTTATTTATAGAGCAGATCCTAGGTTAGATTTGTAGTCACCTCCCAACCTGAGCCTAGTACGCTCCCCCTCCCCCTCCCTTTTCCTTTTTAGGATATTACGAGTACTTGATTGCCAACTTGCTGCGGCAGATCCACACCGGGTATCTGGCACTGGCTTGAATATGACTTGTACTTGTAAATTCTTCGGCTTCGGCTAGACTACACACTACACAGTACCTAGGTTAGCTGACTCACAAAACGCGTACGTGTTTAAAAGCAGTGCCGCCTCCCTGGCGCATCTGGGGTGCATTGGTTTTGATGATATACCGTTTACCTAGATTGCCGAAAGCCGTTCGGGAGAAGATGAGCGGTAAAGCCAATGCTTGCTTACCTAACCTACCTAACCTACCTACTCACCTGCAGTTTCTAATCTAATAACCCCAGAGCCTCGGACCGGTTTCTTCCAGACGCAAGCACACGGTCCCTCGTTAACATAAGATGACTTCCCTACCTATATATGTTTCTTCATTTGGCGGTGAAGTTGTACACGTACGTACCTAGGTTAGAATGGACCAAATAGGGAAGGTAGGTAGGTTAGTGGTGAGAATATCTTTAGGGTTAGGTGGTCTTAGGTAAGTAACCTTCCTTTAAAAAACAAAGAGAAGTCCGCGGGGGCATTCCTGAAGGATCAACAGGAATTGTTGAAACGAAAGAAATCGAACCGAACCGCCACCCCATCGCCTTTTTTTTTTTTTTTTTTTTTTTTTTTCCCTCGCTACGTCACGTCCAAGTCGACAGGTTAACCTTCTGCCTAATAATCCCAAGACCACAGTGAGGACATCGCTTACGAGTAGGCGCAAGGCAAGATGTAGATAGATGGCCACTAATGCCCCCCTGGGCCCCTTCCCCCCACGATGACACGAAAACTTCCGATTAACTCATGGAAGCGACTTTTTTTTTTCCATCAGGGAGTTCTGTTGTCGGGTTCTTATAGGTAGGTAGATCCGGAGTTCTAGCCGCGGGAATCGTTTCGCAACTCCATAGAAAGTAGGTACAGGGGTTGGCATAGAGTTCGACTTAGGTGCCTAACATAGGCCTCATATCATGGACACCCTCTGGATATACCGATCTGTGAATTCATTTTCTTAACCTAGTAGGTATCCTTCCACTTCCCAACTACAGATTCGGACTCTCAGGCGGGTGGGTGTATTCTGTAAGACCCTGACTGGTATTCTCCTCGGCAGAAGTAGTGAAGCGGGAGTCATAACAAGCGGCCGAGTTTGGCTTCGTTGGCTTCTTACAGGGAAACTCATCCGAAATCAAATAGAACCGGACTCACGGTAACTTTACTTACGTGAGTGACGAAAAAGTGTCTCCTGTTGTTCCATTCCCTGCCGGGCTCCAAGTCTCATTGCATAGAATGATTAGGTAGGCACGCAGACAGGAGGGGCATGATAGTTATCGAAGCTCAAATCTACTTACTTACCATCTAACCTACTCTAGTTACGTATATTTACTTGACACAGCAGATTTCTACCTTCCCAGAAGCATCCGCATGAGGGGGAAAAAAAAGAAAAAAAAGAACAGAGACTTATTTATCATCCCACTCTTTTACAAGCGTGCAACAGTTAGAACGAACGTACAACCTTGTAGGTAGAACCGAGGCCAGCTAAATAAGAAGAAAAATCCGGGTACGCTTGATATGATGTACCTACCTTATAACCTACCTCTTCGGTCCCGATATAAAGGATTCTGGAGATTTCCGTAGCGTAGGATGAGCTAGGTATCCGGGAATCTCCCGTATAGTTTCGTGATGCATATTTCACCAAACAAAACAGTTCCATGCGATATCTCGCGTGTTATTAAACAAGTTGCCTCGGAACTTAATTTTGACTGCCCACCACGCAAACAAACGTGCAACTACAAAGTCGCTTTCCCATCTGCAACTTCGAGATTCCACATCCATAAAGACACACTTTGTTTTACAAGCGTGGGATTCATACACGTAAAAAGTACCTACTTTCGAGATAGTTACGAGTAGCATATGACCTCTTTAGTGCTTATGTAGTTGTTCGATACCAAGATGTCTACCAGGCCGAGAAAAAGAAATGCGTAGGGATGATGACTAGCCCGGTGAGTCTTGGTATTGGACCGGTTGTTGACGAATTACACATTTCAAAGCAAGCAAAATGTTAAAATAATCAAGAGCCGAGAAAAAAAGAAGAAGAAAAAAAAAAGGAAGGCTGCTATCTCCAGTTAACTGAAGAGCATCAGGAATTGAGCCCAATGCGGGGGTCGAACCTATGTCGATTTGTTAGTCAAATGCGAGCAAGAATTTTTGATTTTTTGAAAATCAACTTACCCGCAACCTTGAGATTAAGAGTCTCACGCTCTACCGATTGAGCTAACCGGGCAGATGTTGTTAGGTTTGCCAACGTTTAGTTCGAATCAAGTCAGTCCAATGTCGTGGAAAGAAAGAAATCATGTACCTACACGTAATTACACGTAAAAATAATCGGTGCATGATTTTAAGTTACAGGCTAGTCGAGTCTAGGTCGATGACTAATTCCAGAAGAGTAAAGTTTCATGTGTAAAATAGTACGTTATGTACCTGACTTGGGTTAGTACATGGTAGTAGTGAATATAGGCGCATCCATAAATAGGATCACGAAAGGGGCCATGGATGACCTATATTCATCGAGCTTCTGCTTTTGAATCAAGATCCAAGCTATACCACGCCGATGTGTTCTTATTGCTAATAAGATTTCGAAGATCAGAGCTTATCTCGGTCTCTTATAAAGGGAAAACGCCACATGGGAATTAGTCGAAATAGGTAGGTGCTTGGTTTATGCCGATGCGTTCTGACATCTACTGCAAGGTTTGAAACATCATGGCGGAGACGAGGATCGAAGATGATGTTCAAAAGGAAGCCGAATCGCACGTCGATCGCGATGATAACTTTATAAGGACGCCGTCTGGTTCCCCTGCGGTTAAGAATCTCTTTTCTCGTAAGAAGGTCATCGTCATAATCTCCATAAGCATCATGATTGCTGTCACTGCTCTGGCATTGGGCCTGGGACTCGGCCTCGGTCTCGCAGACGCAAGACCGAACCGTAACTCGGCGTCATCTAGCAATTCGAAGGCCGACTTCGACCTCGGCCTGACCCCCGGAACAACATGGGACTACCCGCTCGGCTTCTCCCTGACTACAAAAAATGTCGACAAGGACACTCAATTTTACGTTGTCGACCTGGAGAACACATCGAAGAATGACATTGCGGACCTCATAAATGCCGGCCACACCATCGTATGCTACTTTAGCGCCGGCAGCGTCGAATCCTATCGCGACGATGCGGGCGACTTCCCAGATGAGGCGATTGGCAAGACGCTCGATGGCTGGGATGAAGAGCAATGGCTGGACGTACGCAACGAGGGCGTCCGCGACGTCATGACGCAACGTATTCGGACTGCCGTCGACAAGGGCTGCCAGGGCGTCGATCCGGACAACGTGGACGGATACCAGAACGAGTCGGGCTTCGACATGACCGAGGACGACGCGGTCGACTACGTGAGATTTCTCGCCGAGGAGGCCCACTCGCAGGGCCTGGCCTTTGGGCTCAAGAACGCCGGCGACATCGTGGAGCAGGTCGTCGATGTGGCTGAGTGGGCCATCAACGAGGAGTGCGTCGAGTGGGACGAGTGTGACAGCTGGGCGCCTTTCATCGATGCCGGCAAGCCCGTCTTCCACGTCGAGTACACCGAAGATGACGATGCCACGAGCGTCAGCCCCTCCCAGCTCAAGGAGGCTTGTGCTGCGGGTGGCAACTCGGACTTTTCCACCATTGTGAAACATCTGCCTCTAGATGACTGGGTTGTTAAATGTTAAAATCTGGCAACTCTCACCTCGTCGCCTTTTCACCATCAACTTGCAACAGTAGCCATCTTGTATTTTCCTCCGACTCTGTAGCGCTTTCTTCGCCCCCATGTCTTGTACACACTTCATGGCCAACTGTATAAATGAAAAACATATCTATCTCACCAGGCGAATCCAAGTGATGCATGCATTACCGTGAGAATCGGTTTTCACCTTGGTAGAAATAATGGCCGGTGCGCGTATACTCGTATGTACTAAGTAAGATCGATCGTACGAGGAATCCGAGTCAAAATGTCGCAGCCACTCGGGTAGATAGCGGACCTAGACCGGGTAACAAGCTGCAACCATCTTACGCCTTTACGAATTATATATATCCCTGATCTTTATATCATAACAGGGCAATCTGACAGTAGGTAGTCAGGCATAGACCTGTTACCGTTACACCTACGTACCTCAGTCTGTTACGTAGGTACCTATATCCAGGGTGCTGTCCTAGTATGATAGGAATATAATGTACGAGTACGAGTACACGTAAGTGGTTCTGCTACCCCTGAATTTGGAACGAACTGCCCCGCATTCGCAGAGGTACGTGGATTATTTTCAAGATCAAGAATTGGTGCCTACCTCGTACATGGTATTTAAAAGATATTCAGCTTAGTTTAAACTTAGAATCAAACTCGCAAACGGTGCTCCTTTTCTTTGCTCGTCGCTCTACAGGTAAATGTTCACAAGCAGGTCTCAAAGCTGGGTTACAGGCGCCCACTAGTCTAACCTAGATCCAAGGCGCGAACCGATGCTTATCTTAATGGTCACTATCGATAAGTACCTCTAACTTGATAAGAGACACCCCGAGATTCTGCCGACCGCAGGATCCTAGGTAGCTCGACGTTGTCTTGGTTGTACCAGGTACCTTATCAGAGAGTGGATCGTGGAGCTGGGAGCTTCTGGATCCAAAATTTTCAATTCAGAGGCTTTGCGTTCTCACACTCGACCAGTCTTATTAATCGCAGGCGCGACGGATTGACAACCAAGTTCAATCACGAGACCGACGCCGACGTATATCGGTCAACTCGAGGTTGCTGGATTATACGAAGCTTCGGAATTGAAACTGTCGCCTATCAGCCCAAGAACAGATATCAATTATCACGAGTTTTGTATGCGCCAATCGAGTCGCGCTCGACACCAACTATAACCATGCCGCACATCGACTATCTTCTGCACGAGGTTAGCACTTTATAAGACTCTTTCCCCAAAGAGCGCCGCATATCCCATACCACGAGGGCCCGCGGGAATTGTATTAACGGCTACTAACGTCGACTTGCAACTTAGTCTGCGACTGGATACGCCCTCTTCAAGGTCGTCCACCAGCAAGATGAAATCGGCTTACGGACCGAGGAGGTGAAGAAGGCCGCGGAGGACCTGGCCAAGCTTGGAAAGATGCTCAGCCTCACCTCGTATGCCGTCTGGCGATCGGCAGCGGAAGCGCTGGAGAACATCCATTCCATCAGCGAGGGCTTAATGACCGACTACTTAAAATCTACCATCGAGCTCAACATTCCTCAGTCTAAGAAGAACAAGGTCGTCTTGGGTGTAGCCGATAAGAATCTTGCGGGTAACATCAAGGCCGCATTCCCTGGCATCGAAGCCGAGACCGGTGATACGTCCGACGTCGTGGCCTACCTACTGCGCGGTATCCGCCTGCATTCGTCCAAGCTTCTAAAGGAGCTGCATGAAGGTGATGAGGAGAAGGCACAGTTGGGTCTTGGCCATGCCTACTCCCGCAGTAAGGTCAAGTTTAATGTCCATCGCAATGACAACCACATTATCCGATCCATTGCTACCCTCGATAACCTCGACAAGGGTATCAATCTCTTTTCCCAAAAACTGAGGGAATGGTATTCCTGGCACTTCCCGGAGTTGTACCCGATCTGCTCGGACAATCTCAACTATGCCAAGGTAGCCCGTTTCATCGGGGATAAGAGCACACTTTCGGAGGATAGACTCCATGAATTGGCCGGACTTCTAGACGACGACGAGGAGAAAGCGACCGAGATTATCCAGAAAGCCAAGATTTCCATGGGAAGAGAACTCGGTGAAGCCGATTTGGAGAACGTCATCACATTTGCCGAGAAGGTCCAGAGCTTAGCTGGTAAGACCTCCTGGATTCCTATGGGATACAATTTCCCGGTGCTGACTCCCTCGATGCAGAGTACAGAAGGACCCTGTACTCCTATTTGACCGAAAAAATGAGCCAGGTTGCGCCCAACCTTGCCACTTTAAGTAAGTACCTTTTGGTGTTTTTCAGTGCTCTTCTCCGAAAAATCGGGGAGGCTTTGATAGCTTAACACCACCTATAAACATCTTCTTGGCCCAAACTAACACATATTCCGTCCGTAGTTGGCGAGGTTGTTGCTGCGCGTCTTATCCAGAAAGCCGGTTCTTTGACGAACCTGGCCAAATACCCGGCTTCCACACTCCAAATCTTGGGTGCTGAGAAGGCTCTCTTCAGGGCGTTGAAGACTAAGACGTCAGTATTCTCTTCGCGCTACATCCGCGCCATCCGAAACCTGACCAATGTCTGAACTGGCACTGACCATTGAATAGGAATACCCCTAAGTATGGTCTGATCTATCACAGCAGCTTTATTGGACGCGCTTCACAGAAGGATAAGGGCCGTGTGAGCAGATACCTCGCGAACAAGTGTAGTATTGCGTGAGTAGCCCATCACCCTTTTCATTCTTGCCTTCAATCCAGATAGGCAAGCTAGTGATGCAGCTGGTTAACATCATCTCCTCCAGTGCTCGTATCGATAATTTCTCAGAACACCCATCCAAGAAGTTCGGAGATGTCCTTCGTGGCCAAGTGGAGGACAGGTTGGAGTTTTATGCTACTGGCAAGAAACCCATCAAGAACCAGGATGCCATGGTATGTTATAATTCCCCAGCCCTGTAGTTTTCTGTAACTGTATTATTCCTGCTGACACCCAAACCAGGACAAGGCTGTGGCAGATCTTCTTGCCGAGGGCGACGACATGGCCATCGACTACGAAATGATCGACGCACCAGCTCCCGCCAGCACAGAGACGCCCAAGAAGAAGGAGAAGAAGTCCAAGGACAAGAAGGAGAAGAAAGACAAGGAAAAGAAGGATAAGAAGCGCAGACACAGCGAGGTCAAGGACATAGTGGATGCGGACGCGGAAGTCGACGGTGAGAAGAAGAAGAAAAAGAAGAAGAGGCACTCGGAGGCATAATAATCTCAATATTCGAGCTTCCTCCCCTCCCCAACCCCTTTCCCCGAATTTGACCTGACGGCGGGAGAAAAATAATCGCTTTGTCAGACAAAAAAGGATGGATGGATGGATGGATGGTTGGTTGTTAAGTGTTTGTCGTCGGTCTTCTTCTTCTTCTAACGCATGGTCATGGGCGTTTTTTGGGTTATTATTCTTACTTCGGGGTCTTTCTTCTGGTGTCTCGTGTGTATATGAAATTAGGGACCATATCCCACCGTTCTTATCAGTCTCCTGGCCCCCCTTTGTTTCCC